ATATCCAAGGACCAGTGGTGGGTTTCAAAAAATTTTGGAACCTCTTCTGTAGGTGTGGCCTGCTTTCCAGGTCCACTGGTGGAACATCTTCTAACTGGTTAGATAGATTTGACGAACTGGTTCTACCAAATAGGTGCGAACTTGTAGGAACCCACCTCTGGACCGGGATGAAGCTTTATCTTCACTGCATATATGCAATCCAAAGTGGCTGCCTCGCCCCAATCCACACGCTCGCTTGTCTAAATGGGTTGAAGTACTCACCATGTGGATTGGCAAAAAAAAAAGCGCTCACTGGTTCAGAATTATAATACAGCTATATAGAGGAATAACTACAGTACTACAACATTACAATATCAGCTGACATTTTACTCTGTGTGCAGACCAGCCCGGGGGTCACCAGCTGGCGTTCCAAATTAGAATAAACAGTATGTCTGTTTCACCAAAAGTTATTGGTCATTGCATTATATCATGTGGCACATCATACATGGACTAGAAATATAAATTAGCATTTCAACTAGATTAGTAGAACCCAATTTATATATATAAAAGCAGATGTGTGTGTGTTTGTGTGTGTATGTTCCAGCATAACTCTGGAATGCCTGGAGCAATTTCCACCAAACTTGGTACACAGATAATTTACTCTCTGGAAACAAATATTGTGGGGGTAAGACATCCTTAAAACCTCTCAGTGTGTGTGTGAATGTGTGTCTATGTGTTCCAGCATAACTCTGGAATGCCTTGAGCAATTTCAACCAAACTTGGTACAGAGATGACTTACTCTCTGGAGGAAAATATTGTGGGGGTAAGACACCCCTAACACTCCTTGGGGTATTGGTTCTGTTAAGATACAGCCTGTCGTGCCTTTAAATGGCTTCTACTACAGTGCCATAAAGTGGCTTCTACTGTACAGCGCAGTGGAGTTACCATGGTAACAACTTCACAGTACTCCACAAGGGGACTTCCTCTGGTAAGGGGAAAAATACAACATGAGAAATTATGTTTGGTCTGGACATTTTCTCCCTATAAATAAATACCTGGGCAACACCAGGCTATCAGCTAATAATATATAAATTTCAAGAATATCTGTGTTCAGATATCAATAACTACACCAGTGGTAGTCAACCTGGTTCCTACCGCCCAATAGTGGGCGTTCCAGCTTTCATGGTGGGCGGTAGGGGTTTGCTGTAACTCTGCTTTATAAATTTTATAAAGTAAAGTTACTTCCCTACTTTATAA